ACTATACTTCTTAGAAAATAAAGCCGAGGATCTAATGAATCTTTTAATTTGACTTCAACACCAATATAATCCATTAAGCACCTGTGTCTAATACGAAATAGAAGACAAATAAAATTTATACTGTGACGACTTGGTATTGTTACATAAGGTTTGTATGTGTTAATCAAATAAGAACATAAGACATTAGTAAATAAATTGGTGAATTATCTGTGATAGAAAGAGACGGTGGTAGAGGTTGAAACAACATATTACCGATGACTTCTATGGAAGTAAATATTAGTCTTGTACTTCAAGTATTAGGTGATGAACATATTTGTAGAAGTATCTTAATTGTGTCCTGTAAACAGTGAACAGTGGGCATGTGTGGGGCAGTGAGTTGAAATTCTTACGTAATAAATCATATCCTCATACGTAATACGTAAGTTTTTAGTAGTAACTATTTTAAAATTGAAATTTTTGCATGCTAATAGTACCTGTTGTGGTATGATATATAAGAGGAACGTCATTACGAGAATGTTAGTTACGCATATTTTAATAAAATATATTATAATTAATTATCGTTCGTTTGTGTAACGATCAATACCTTAGTACCTACAAATTCATCAGGTAGATCGTATTTTATAATTAAATAAATTTCTGTGAATTTCTGGCACATACTCATTACTTGCGGAAAGTCTCAAAGATGCTAGGAAAAATGAAAAGCAAATTACAGTCTGCTCAGTGCTTTGTCTCAGTACGACACGAGCTCGTATTATTTGCCTTGAAATGGTATAACTATCCGCCAATAATTTATGAAATAATTGCATCATACTAAAGTAAATTAAAATTTGTGATTTGTGAGCAAAAGAGGGACATACAAAACCCCTCGAATACAGAGTAGGGTTGTTCCAAGGTTGTTGCTTATCACTAGTAGTATTTAACACGGTTATAAATATTAATAGATACTATAGAAACACACGAAAAGAGGTGGGGCTACCGGTTTAAGGTCAATGGAAAATATACGGCATCTATCTTAGCATTCGCAGACGATCTAGCGATCCTCATACGATATAAATCAGAACCACTTAAAAACACTGGACGCGAAAATCACTAAGACATTGAAGGCGTGGCTCGGGCTAGCAACATCTTCCGACCCGTCAACGTTGTACAGGGGCTCAAATAAGTTTAGAATGAAATTTAAAAAAAACTTCGGAACTCTAAGAAGGAGAAATCGTTAGATCCCTTCCAAGAGACAAAAAATCATCAGAGCTCGAGTCACGGCTCCATTCCACTAGAAATTAATGGTAGAGTTGGATTGGGAAATGCTAGAAGATAGACCGACAAAAAGATAACAATATCTTTTCCACAAGAAGATGAAAACGAGACCTACAAGGTGCACGCAATGAACCTAGAAATGCAGAATGAATGGTTAACTCTAGGAGAATTTTGTATCCCACCAGCTTTGAAATGGCGCACACTTTTATACGATTGATCACCCGCCCCGTTAAAATTTTACCTCAACGCCTTTCAATTGACTCTCCCCGATCAAAGCAACCTAGTAAGGTGCGGAAAGCTACAGAAATGGCTTGTACGGTACGCGGAAATAGGTACAGTCAGGTACTTACTGACAGGTTGTAAGGCGCTATTAGACGGGGGTCATTATTCACGTCGCCATGATAGGGTATTACAAATCATACGAGAAACTATGAGTGTATCGCTGGCGAGAGTGAAAAAGGGAATAAAAACATATATAAGAACTAACATCGCATTTGTAAAGGAAAGCTCAATAAAAAATACTTCACAAAAGCCGTACTCAATTTTAAATACCGCCAGTGACTGGACATTATTAGTGGACAAGTATAAAAATTATTACAGAATACCGGAGGATATCTGTGCCTCGGCGTCCAGACCAGACATATTTCTTTATGCAAATTCAATTAAGCATGTAGTACTAGTAGAACTCACGGTGCCGTGGGAAACGAACATCCCTAAAGACCACGCTTTAAAAAGAAACAAGTAAAAATGGTTATGTTGCGTTGTGTGCCGTGAAAGTGGGTGCGAGGGGTATGCCAACTAAATCCGTCTGTAACCTGCTTAAAGACCTTGGATTGTCAAGAGCTTCAGTAAGCTCTTTTCTTGAACGAATATCCAAAGCAGTATTGCTAGGCTCGTATCAAATATGGTTAGGTAGAGGGGTTACACAGTAGACAGTGGAGGTGAGCGCTAACGCGTCGCAACCCGCACGGTGAATCCAGGGAACGTTAAGAAATAGGTCTCTACTTTTTATACGAAACTAAGCATTTTTCGTAGTACCACATTGTAGTTAAATTGATGAGAAAAGAGAAAGAGAAATGTTGCGAAAAACATCTTTGAGGTGGTTTTTTATATCGTGGCAAAATTTGAGCTTAATCGGTACAATAGTTATTGAGTTTTTAAAGCTACACAAACCAAATTAACATTACTATCTATTTAGATATGCATTCATTCGACCAAAAACAAAAGACAAGTTTTACCAAACATATTTTTGACGACCAACGTGGCTTGAATGTGAATGATTGGACCACCAATGTTAAAATAAACAATGTGTATGTACGTAGGCCTCGGTTTATACTCGTAGCAGCTCGAAGTTAATCTAAAGTAAAGTACAAGCTGTAGCGTAAATAAGTTATTAGTTGTTGTGGGGAAGTCGATATCGGCGGTTGCTGTTGTTTGATCGTTCTTTGTTTTCTTTTCATATTTATTTTATTTTTTCCTAGCTTTTTTTGATGCGAATGGAGCAAATGTTAATATTAATGGTTCAGTTATATTAGAAAAACTTTATTTTAACTGATTTTATTAACATTTATAATTTTTGGTAATTTTTATTTTTTACATAATAAAAAAATACTGCTAGCGTAGGTTACACAGTGTTAGTATGCTTAGTATCGGCTTTATATATTAGTGGCTTTTTTAAAAAAACGACAGCTCCCGTACTGATAATATATCCTGTGTCATATAGTAACAGACACAAAAAAAGTTTTTGAAACTAGACGAAGTTATGCCGTTATAAAATTTAATGGTGACAAATCTACTTTTGCTAAAAGACAGTTCACTGTGCAAGCAGGTCATTTGTAATTTTTTAATGCAAACAAAATTTTTAAATGTGAAATGATGAAAAGGCTTATCACCTTAAAATATAATGATGTTGAAAAGTAGTTGTTGTAATTGTCATAAGTGTAGGTACTTTTTGAATTACTAACTTTTGTATCCTTGTCATTGTTGAAAATGGAGTTTACTGTCACAAATATACTTAAAAGGAGACCCCTGTTTAAAAAACAGAATGTAAAGAATCAATAAAGTTAATTATCATTATACCAACCCATCTGACCAGCGTGGTATAGTAAGCCAAAATCTCGGTTGTTGGTATGTCCAGAAAGAGGCTATTAAAGGTTGTTGATGATTGTTATTACTTGTAAAGTATGTTATTGGAACAAAGTCAAGCTCATATTATATTTATTAGTTGGTCTAATCAAGCTTCGTGACCGTGACGTGTATAGTTCAATACACGTACCTATTGTAAGCCTATATAAACGTATTAAATCAATAATCATGATACAAAACATGTAGAATATACAAACATTTTATGTTCATGTAATTTGGAGTAAAATGTAAATCAGATTTATTTATAATCATGTTTGTTTGCGCTTAAGAAGGTATTGATGCGTTCAAGATTGTAGAACCCAAAACATCTCGAAACCTTCATAATCAAACATTCTTTTTCTACAATAAGGTATCCATTACATATAATTTAACAGAATTAATGTATGGTTTAAACTACAAGAAGAAAAATCAAAATGTCAATAAATTACTGTGTAATTATGCTTTACAAATTTCAATAATTTATTTAACATAATTTTCTTAGCTCACATATCCTAACATTAGAAAAGGTCTTACCTTAGGATATATGTGCTACGAAAATTATTTCTTACTATAGTTTTGCTTTTTATACAACAACGCAGAAGGCCACATGGCCACCATGTTGATATTGCTCTGATAGTAATAGTGATACACTATGACGAAGATTTAAGCTAAAGTTTAAGGCAATCACATCTTTCTATCATTTTCCCAATTCTGTTTGGGGTTGACGTAATGTGTTATGCCTAGTTTATATACGTGCCGAGGCTTGGCAAACGTCCACAAGCCCCAAGCCTTTTCAAACGCTTGGATGCCATTTACACGCTTGCGAGTGTGTTAATGAGTTCTGGACAGGCAAACATTGCAGACGTGGACACATTTTTATTCAAAATATAAACCAAACAAAACTAAAAAAAACTCTAGCCTTACTGCTCAACTAATTTTAATACGAGCAGCGGGGAACAAGCACGCGCTGACATATAAATACGTCGCAAACGCTTGCTGCAAGCTTATGTTTAAAAACCGACACTAGTCCCGATCGACGATAAATTCACGCAAGCCCAAACCAAATATCCCGTTTACATGCTTGTGTTTGTAGATATTTGTCGAGTCTTGGCAAGCATGTAAATGGCCTATAGCAATGTTAAGCCCTAATTTTTATGGACACGCAGATGACGTGCCACCCCCTGCTTTTAAATGTAAGATAATGTAATCGTTTTAAAATGAGAGAAATGAAGAAGGTAAATTGAAGTACGGAAATTGGAGGGGGCGAAGAAGCTAGGGCAAAGAACACTGCAAGTTTCAGATAGATAAACGGAACTGCGATTACTCGCGGAAATTTAAGTCATAGAGCAGTTTAATAAGTGTTATTTATACGATATCATCAATAGGACGAAAAAGTTCCGCACAATCAGGCAACTCAAAAAAGAGCAGTTACTAGAGAACATAAAAAGGTTTTATATACATGGGCTTTTTTGGCATACGCTTTCTCCGAATAAAACTAAGAAAGTATCTGCAATTTTTTTAATACCCTTTCCAAAGTGCAAAGCTTTGAAAAAACTGTAAAAATTATCATAAACCGTCATCGTGTTCGTCAAACCATTTCTCCAACCAGAAAAATCGTTAAAATGAAATTATTTCTCCGCAGATCACGAAACGGAGCGGTCATGACGACTGACAACGCGCTCAATTCTCAACGGTAAGTCTTATGAATTGATTTCATTATCATTTGCTTCCAGTTCTTGTTATGATTAATTAGAATTTGATTCAATTATTCAAATTTAAATGGACGACATTAAAACGACATGAATCCGCAAAGAGCAATATTGTTGCAAAGTACTTAAGATATAAGCACACTCACTGATGAAATATTTAACGGCTCCAATGTTACAATTTATTCAATTAATATTTTACTATCATAATCCAAACGAGAACAATTAAAGAGATTTTGGCTTTAGTTCATTGGTACTTGATATTAGCGTAACACAACTGCATTGAAAAAAAAGTATATAAGGTTTCTATCAGCCAATCTAATTTTTATAGTACAAGCTTTGTTTAGTTTGAAACTGCATGGCTTTGTATATCAGATGATTAAAAAAAAAAATAATGACTTTTACAATAAATTTTAGTACTCGATAGAACTGTAATAACAGATACGTTAATTTTTATCATATTCTTTGAGCATTTACGAAATGAGGATTAAGTAAATAAATTACTAATTTAATAGCCTAATATTTATAGCAGCATACGCATAGCATCCTTTATCAGTAAATAACGTAAATGAGAAGAACAATATTAAAGTATGCCTGAAAATTTAGAATCAAGGCCAAATATAATTCATGAGATTTTATCGCAGCCGTTCATGCAAATATGAACAAAGCATTCAATTGCTTCGTCATCGTAAGATTCAAAAGGACAGATATCAGAACTGTGTTGAAAGCTTTCACAAAGTTGACTTAACAAAGATAATACTAAAACGAATACGAGCATACGTAGCCCTAGAATACTTACCATCACCTTAGGTTGTTGTTTTTTTAGTAGAGTTTTAAATCACTTTAAAATGCCAGAATGTGCGTTCCTGCTAGGAAAGAATGCCCCAAGACGCAGTTGAAAATAACCATGCATTTTTCGGGGCACACCCGTTCTTGATTATCCGATGTACCGGTAATATAAAATAAAAATGAAGTGTGAGCGGCTTTAGTCCTGCCAAAAGCATTTTTTATTTAAATACCCTTAGGTTACAAGAATTCAACAAGTGAACTTCGTCACTATCTCAGTAAATTACTGATCAATCTGGGCGCCGGTCGCACACGCACGGATTATTAAAAGAGTCCGGCGTAGGTCAGGCGGCCGCTTGCCCCTGTCAAAAGAGCTAAACTGCGAACCCTACTCAGACGAATTTTATTGTTATAGTTGTTATTGTTTTAGTTTTTTTTTGGTTATATCATTTAATACCTTTTTACCCACAAAGTTATAAATCTTAAATTTATTTACAGTCACATTTTTAGCACATTCTACATAAGTTATAATATTCAGTACTCCTTCCTTTCATTATTAAGACGCTTTTGTTTACTACGCTAGTCTAGTTTGAATACTTACTTAACAAAATATTCAAAACATCATATTCACATGTGTTCTGAATTTTCAATAAGTTTCGTGATGTTTAGATTCTCGTGCTAATTAATTTAGTTTCTTTCATCTAAGTAACTAACTAAAAGTTGACGATTGACGCTAATTTTATATGATAAAGTAAGAAAAATAATAATCTTTGTAATACAATATTTACTTGTATGGAATCACAAATATTTTATTCACAAAACAACATGTTAAAAAATATAAATGCAAATAAATATAAATTTACTTGTTATGACTAAAAATAAAGCACTGGCGGCTATTGGCTTCATGTGTTTTATAGAGTAAAGATTCTCCACCTGTACGTTAAATGAGGTTTAAACAAAAATTGTTACGTAATAGTTTATACATACCTTAACAAGTATTTGAAATTTGTTTCTAGAGTAATGGAATGAATTGGATGGTGTATCAATTAGTTTGTAACAAGGAACACTGGTTGCGGGCGGGAGGAATGTGTCAGATCACAATTGACTCGGGCAATTAACCCCTATTAACACTAGCTGCCACTAATTTAGGTGATTCAGTGTACTGCTATCGCATGTGATCACACAAAAACTTTCTGACATTTCTTCTTTTACGAGGGCTGCTATTTATGTATCAGAAACTGGGCAGTTAGTTAATATAAAAAAAATAATTACAACATTTAAAAATGGAACTCTTTGGCTGAGAATACAATTTGTTTCATGTAGCTGTCATTTGTTATCCTTTGCGTCATTTTGAAAATTGTGTGTCTTTATCACTATGGATTTAACTCGTCAAAATTCTCGTGCTATGATTTATTACGATTTTCGGCGAGGGCAAACTCAAAAACAGTGCATCCATCAACTCACTTCGACTTTTGGGGACGTAGCACCATCAAAAACAACTGTGTATTACTGGTTTAGTGAGTTTAATCGAGGTCTGTCTGTGCTCACGGACGAATTTAAAGTAAGTCGCCCTAAATCGGTTTTTGTACCTCAAAATTATTGATGAATACCTATTGATGCTCTGGGAGAACTAATAATGCAAGATCGTCATGTTACAAATCGCGAGATAGAGGCGTCTCTGGGAATAAGTATGACGAGTATATATGAAATCCACAGGGATGCGTTCAAAATGCACGTTTTAGAGATACCACAATCAGAATTGAAAAAGTGCTACGAAAATTGGTTCCAACATATGCAAATGTGCATCGATCATCACGGCGAATATTTTGAAAAGCAATAAAACTATAATAAATGCTATATGTTTGTTTCACTTTTTTATTCCGGATAAATAAATAGCAGCCCTCGTAAATATAAAAATCTGGTGGTGCGACGGCTGGTGAAGGTCGCGAGAAGCCACTGAATGTGAGCAGCGTAGGGCCGGGGGAAGGCCTACGTTCCGTAATGGACGTCTTTTGAGATGATGATATGAAAATCAATATTCATTTGATTTTTTTAGATGTTATCGTAACGAACTTCATGAAATTTTTACAGCACAGAATATCGTAAGGTACTTTTCATCCAGATAAATGATCATTCCAAGTTATAGAAAAGTATATGTATTATGTATATAATGAATGAAATAGGTTTCAAATAAGGTTCTTTTACATGGCTAGGTTACTATTATTCCATTCCATAATAGCGTTTTCTTAAGAACTTCAATTTGCTGTCCGGGCATAACCATTTTGAATTTATATCGTAATTTTTTAAACTAATCCTGATCCTGCCGAAGTTAACAAACGTAGGTAAACTGGTTGGTAAATTCATTAATTATATTTAATAATTATATGAATATATAACAAATTGCAATTTTAAATGCAACAGTGAAACAGCCATTTCATGTATTTTGCCTGATAATTTGATTATTCAGTCTCATTAGTATTTATACATTTTCGAAAGTGAAAAATATTGGTTTGTATGATAATGAAATCTATATTACTCGTATTGAATTACATTATTGTATTTTAAATCAATAATGTTAAATTTAAAGTTTAAACAACAGAACATTTTTGGTATGTTTAAAAAAAAAACACACTTTCGTGAATCAACTGCAATTGATACTTCTATTCGCGTCAATTCAAGGCACCTCGGGACCAAAACAATTCGCAAAATTTTCATTGGTTATGGTGGAATGTGTTCGGAACGAGGACATTAGAAATGATATGTTGTTTATAACAGAAAATTTGAAAGACATTGGAGCCTGTAACCAAATATTAGCTTTTCCCCTTTCAGAGGCAGCAAAAGCGATTTACAAAATTGTTGATATCGTTATGAGGCGACGTACGAGTATTTTATGTATATGATTGTTCTATTAATTGTTAATATTGTATGTACTGTATTCTAATTGATGACCTTATGGAGTGATGTAGTCCGAAAGGACTAAAACTCCTTAAATAAAAAATAAATAAAAAAATTCATTGGCATCATTTACTAAATAAATCATGATAAGTAATGTGACATTTTATCTTTTCTGATTTCTCATAGCCTTAGTTATATTTTACAACTCCAACCTCATTGGGGGAATTATTGAGTCCTCTCGCCTAATTACAAAGTATTTTAAATTCTGGAACATTTACATATATATGGTTTGAACTAAATTGCAAAGCCATATAGGGCATAATTGCATAATCCATAAAGGGCCCATAGAATTGAGTAAATTGCGGACGAATCAATAAACGTTCGGGACAATATATTCTCTGTAGAATGCAAATACTGCGTGGATAGTTGCAAATTTCTAAACGATAAGGTAGAACGTGCACGGCTGCCTAGATTTACGAGTATATTGACCTGTGTTCGTGCGCCCTACACTTAAAACATAAATTATATCAGAAACAAATGCAGAAATTAGAACGATACAAAATAATTTTGTTGTTAAGCACCTATTGTCAAGCTTTAATATAATAACTAAAAGGAATTTTATTTAAAATTGAATGCCAACCTCTGGGTGAGTGACTAGTACTCGTACTTAAGTAAATTTGTCAAAAATATTAATATTATTTTGGTACAAAGACTAGTACAATACCGGAAGATTTACGTGGGTAGCGTAAAACTGTCTGAGCTTTAAGCTACCCACGTAATTCTACAGATTTAAACCCACTAGGGCCAGACTCTGCCATCTCTCCAGAAACTTCTACGAGCACTTTATTCAACTTTAATGAAGAGTTCACGTCACAAATTATGAATTTATTGGTTTAACGATATTTCCTGCGTAATTTCATAACAATTTGATTTACCTACAATACGAGTATAATGATTATTCACTGGGCTGTTGCTTTAGTGATCAGTGATCCTACCAAGTCAATCTAAGCCAAAGGTCATATGTGATAAAGACAATAATTTGTATTTATCTATAATATATATGCATTTAGAAATATAAATACAAAAGTTGATTGGCAGAAAATTCTTTCAGCATTAAGAACACATGTGTACACATTGTGCATCAAGTATTAAAATAAATAAATAAATAGATATGTTTATAAGCAGTCTGGATGACCTAGTACAGGCCCTGTCTAGTTAGGGATCACACAGCCCTGTTTGAGATATGTTAGGTTATTATTATTATTAACTAAACTAATAATAATAAATTAATAAAAATAGAAAAAGTTTTTGAAAATAGTCGTGCAACGTTGTACTGGGATTGCCCTGTTATCACTGACAGGATTATTATTGCCAATAAATCTGATATAGTGTTAATATACCGATTAGAGCGCCGAACAATGATTGTCAACATTACCATTCCACATGACGACAATCTCTTGAAAGCTGAAAAAGATAAACAAGTAAAGTACTTGGATTTGGTCAACGAGATTGTCAAGATGTGGGATGTGGATTCGGCAATCATTGTAGCGATAGTCATATCGGCCTATGAATAATACCTAAGAGCCTCGACCAACATCTTCAGAGGATTGCGTTAGGCAGTTGGATTTAGGGCCTGGTGCGGAAAGCAGTTTTTTTCGATACGGCACGTATTGTGAGGAGGTTTCTGTCTCTGGACTCCTAACCACCGATATCTTGGTCCCTGTACCCGATACCGATGGGATTATTGTTATTTAAATGTGTTTTTTATACATAAATATATTTAAAATGTAATTTATAAGTATATTTAATTAAATAAAGAGAATGACAATGGATTGAACAAATTTTTCAATTATTACAAGACGATTTAACTTTTCTATCGCCGCTTTCACAACAAACATAATTTAAACTCAGAAATCAACCTAAAAGTGAATTTCCTTTTTCATAATGCGCTAAACTGGCGTTATTTGAAGTTGTTTGTTTGTTCTACTTTGTTGTAAATGACTTTTAGTTTTTGGTGTTTTAAGTTGTTTACGTATTTGCCTACCTCGTTTTCATCGATGTACAAAAGTATTTGCAGCTGGTTATTATAAATACACGATGCTCAAAAAAAACTTGAAACTACTTAATTAAGAAAGAGAGAACTTGTCTTAGCAGAAATATATTATTATGTAGACATGTAATAATTAAGTTAAATAGCCATTGTAATCTAAAAAAATTATTAAAATCAAATGTGAGGGGATTTTTTTCTTGAATGCTCAAATTAAAGAAAACTAAAACTGTGTGAGATTATTACTAATTCGTTATTGAAAGCTACACAAATACTCTACGTGAGTCTACTTAATATTACCTTAAATTTGAAATTACAAACAACCATAAACAAATGCTTATACTAAGTTTGTAATACTGAATACATAAAGAAGAAGTAGGTGGCGCTATTTACGTAAATGCCGGTTTAAAGCTCTATATTTAATATACCTATATAATGCTTTTCCATATCACCTATGTCAAAATTTCAGGCTTTATACACACTATTCAATTGCCAAATATCTAGATTTTAGGTATTTGGCGAATAACCTGATATTTCTCATTTCAACATTTAAATATAAGATTTGTTTTATTTTACTCTTGTTTGTTCTAGCATACCATCACATCATTAATGATATTTGACTTAATGGCCCTTGCATTGCTGAAGTCCGAGATCAGCGGTTACCATTGATCATTAGCAATAAAAAAAATTGGTCAAATAGGTATACATATATGCACAAAATATGCGAATCGCTACCACACTGTTTTAGAAGTGTCGATTCGTACACTAATAAATTCAATTCAATAAATTCATTGTGAATGGTGTGAATCGACCACTAAGCCAATATTTTAGTAAAAAAAAACGTTAAAGATATGTAGATACTCGTATGTTACAAAGAACTCGATAATTCTGTATTACGAGTCTAATAGATCACGTAACCAAAAACTAAAAACTCCAAAATATTTTAGAACTTCCAATTCAGAATTAAATATTTTAACTATATTTTATTATATTTAAATCGGGAATAATAATTTTGATAACCGACTACTCGAAACTACAGTCTATAGTTTGAAGAACAGAAAATTAAACAGAAATTCAGCCCACTTTATATTATTACACCTAATATAAAAGTTTCTGCACCGGCAGCTTAAAAAGAGTTATTATTAAAAAACAAGTATTATATTTCACCTGCGGACAGATCCTATTACGAAGAAACCCTACTCACTGCAGAAGTTCAACGTAATGCAATTTTAGCCGCAATTTTCAGTAAACAAGGTAGAACATTCTCCCGCATTTGGTTCCTCGGTGAGCTGGCTACAGTTGATTCAGTTACCTCAAATCTCTGTTTTGTATTATTATTGTTGCTGAAGTTCACTTTCGCTAGTCTTGCTTGTTTCAAATGTCGTAATAACAATGAACGTAATTGAATCTTATACTAATAATAACTTGGATTTCGTGGATTTCCTATTAAGTAAAGTATGGTTTCTATGAAATATGATAATGTTTTATAGGGATGAAACATAATATTTTCACACATCTCACACACGGCGGTCTAATCCCAAACCAGGCAGAGCCTATGCTATGGTAACCTAACTGCTGATAAATATACTGATATATTTCTAAATACATACATATTATAGATAAAGTAAACCCAGACACAGAACAAATGACCGTGCTCATCACACAATCATTTGTGCTGGGTGGGAAGCGAACCCACGACCTCTGGCGTAGCAGTCAGGGTCACTATCCCCTAGACCATCAGGCCAGTCAATTACCAACAAGTCTATGGCTAAATTGCAATATAACGAGGTCTCCCGTCAAATTAAATCAAATTAAATTCAAATTATTCGCTTATTATTTATTCTGTCGATGATTATTATTGAATCAATAGTATTTATCGATTAATATATAAGAATATATCTATATGTATCGATTGGATATTTTAAGGGTTCCTATTTTGTCCATTTGTCTGTGCTTCTATCAAAACTATTTTTTCACGTTTGATACGTTAGATACCTACTTGTAGCTGGCGTTTGACAAAGGTTTAAAATTAAAATCTTATTAGTTAACATCAAAAGATACGGAAATTTTAGCCTTATATTTTAATATTTTTTTCAGGGGAATTAAAAAGTTATTCATAGCACTATGCATAGAATATTGTTGTTTCATTAGAATGCATTTATAATAAATACAATACTAAAACTAACAAAACAAAAGAGTAATTGATTTGGAAAGCGGCCGGCGGGTAATGAGAAAAATAGACTCGCCGAGGGCGATTTTTAGTATAGACCGTTTTATATTTACAAAGCAACTGACAAATATATTTTTATCCTTGCAGGGTGTTCAAGAAATCTTCACCCAACAATAAATTGACGTTATATCTTGCTTCAAGAGACCTGTTGGTAGAAAATGGCTCCATTGACAGAATCCAAGGTGTGTTGCACGTGGAACCAGAATACCTGGAGAATAAAAAGCTGTATGGACAAGTTACACTTACGTTCAGGTAAGTTCTTATTTTATATTTTACTCCCTTATACCCACGATTTTGTCTGCGTAAAATACTTCGAGTAGTCTAATGGTTTTGTAGAGTATTGTAAAACTGATGTTCTTAATTTAAATACTGTAGTTAACATATTTCAAACTTTAACAATGTTTAACAATATATTAAAAATCTATGAGGTTACGCTTAAAAATAAATAACTAAACTTCACATACTTTACTACTAAAAAGTAAATATGTATGTAATAAAAATTATAATATTTTACTTATTTGAACAACATTTATAACATTTGAAGTAAATGTGACCGTATGAAGTGATATTTACGTAGCATCTTGAAAAGTTGGCACATCTTTTAACAAGCTTTCAGTAAGCTCGGCGTTAAATCTTCTTATGTAATTTTGAGTTTTCTTGAGAGCTCAGCTTTCCTAGGACTAATATCTTGAAGATGTATACTGTGTGTTACACGATGCGTATCGTACTTTGAATAAAATCGAATAAAAAAGCATACTTTGTTTAACTGTTGGTCATTTGTAGTGTTGTAAAACTGTTGTTATAGAACACTAAAAAATAAAAACATTTTCAACGCAAATAATATTTTATTTATATTGGAAATACCTTTCAGTGTTTCATACATGAGAGGGCACGACTAGAATGACAATAATCACATTCATTCAGAGGTATTTTAATGGTTCCTTACAATTTTACCTGCTTTAATAGTCATTGCTCCGTTCCTTAGGTTTGTAGGGCGAAGCTTACTATAATACTACTTTTTTTTAATGAATATTTCATCCACATATTTCCAAGGAAAACGATAAACTCCGATTACCACAAGTCACCGTTGCCTTGTAGTTGTAGAAAATTAAAGAATGAAGAAACAGAAAACAGTTTATTACCTTTATGCATGCATGCAGGCGCATTAAAGTCTTTGATACTTAAAAAAGTCAATAAATATTTTTATCTTGTACCATGTTGTTGTACCATGATTTATTTAAGTATACTATACAGTCAGCCAGCCAGTCCTAGTTGTCTGTAAGAGTTCGCAAAATGTGGTGAACTACCCTTTGCACCCTTTTGACGGGAATTCTGGTCTGTGGTAAGTGACCCTAACACAGGAGATGGTAACTGGAGGTTACAGGTACAACGCTCTAACCTGCCAAATTGTATACTACCCAGTCCATTCGTATAAACAATAATTTAATTCTTTTTCAATTTATGTATAAATTGGTGTGATGACGGATTAAGAATACGGAGTGTCACCACCTCTATTCATCCCGTAGACATCGTAAGAGCCGCCTAAGAGAGCAAACTACTCAGGACTACACTGCATAGAGAAGGAAAACTTGAAACAAACCCTATACCCATCCGTCTGGCCAGAGTGGTATAGTAGACCAAATCTTCCTTTTCAAGTAGAATCCTATGTCTAGCAGTAGACCATTAAAGCCTGTTGATGTGATGATGCGATGAACAATAATTCAAACTTTTTCAATTTATGTATAAAGTGACGAAAAGGGAATAAATGTATTCAATCCATATAATACTCGGCAAATTTTAGGAACAGACTATCACAGGTTTGGAATTTAAATCGCGCCTAATCGACGTTAAATAAATATTTTATCGCAAACAAGATCAACTAATAGCCATTATAGTATAATAACCATGTTATTACACTAAAATTAACAGGCATTTGTTTTATTTATAAACGATGTATGTGTATATATCTTTGAAAACTGGTACCTAGTATTTGATAACGTTCAGGTTTACAATTATTTTAAATGTGTAAGCAAGTTTATTTGTTATGCTTTCGCACCTTAACCACTAAACCGATTTCAAAAATTCTTTCACCAATTGAAAGCTCATTACAGCGATAATCAACATACACGTTGGCGGAGCCGTGAACAAAAGCTAGTGTTGTATAGAACCCAAACTATTAGCTAAAAGCATTTAATTCGTGTTATTTAAGCCGAAGAGGTAATTAACACGAGTTTTTCATAAATGCACTTTCATCAGCATTTATGATCATTGCACTTAAGGATCTTAGTGGAATGTTACATAGTCTTCATCGACGAATACTCTATCTATCAAGAATATAACTTTTAAATCTGACTGAAAGGACAAAAAATTAGCTCAATTAACAATAAAAGGAAAAACCTTCATCTTTATTTAACCAGTATAGGTCAAAATAAATAGCCAAATACAATTTTTAAACGATAACGATATGTACTCCTTTATGCAAAAGCAAGATTTTTTTTTATTGATGTTTGTCTGTGGATATTACCCCATTAGCGTTGAATGAGTGAAGATGAATGAATGCATTCATCTTCACTCATTCTTCATTAGAGACTGTGAAAGGGGAAATGAACTATGTAATTGCTTGTTTGTTTATTTATAACTAGCCGTTCTTCGCAGTTTTCCCGCGTTTATAACCACTAATGATGTTGATCCAACCAATAACAAACTCCTCGGCTGTATAATATTAGTATAGTAACTTCTGACTAAGATGAATAAACGGAGATACGATGGACAAAGAAAATTAAATCAAATCACATCACCCGTATTTTACAACTATTTAGGTTCATTTCTACTACAAGAATAACGATAATTTGTACTTACCTGCGGTTATGGCTAAGCAAAAACATGTGTTTACGTATTTATTAAATAATTTAGTTACTTTACCAAGAGAAAAAGAGTAACAATCGATATTTCACGTACTGTATTTCTTGGTTCTTCGAGCTGATCTCAATTTTTTTAATTTATGTATTTAAAAACGTATTTAAAAAAAATATATTTATGTATTTTATTGACTGGGGTGAGATATAGCTACCTAAACAAATACCCGTATACGGTACATACTGTTACATGTAGAGCTGTAAGTATTAAAAGCGATATGTTCCTTATCCTTCAGGGAAATACCACTGTATGGAAAATATTCTATCTACGCAAAATGTCGAGGAACATTCCAATTTAATCTTCGGTGTACCACGAAACTGCCACAATCGAAATTTGATTTATGAATACTTTCACGGTTTGACACACTTGGAGGTGAAATCAATAACACGATAAGGCAACCCAAGGCTAATGTGGAAGTTTCATCAACAAAATATACCTATCATAATAAACGAGCTTACGGTAAGGGTATGGAAAACCGTACCGTAAACGTAAATACTGGATAAAGTTCGGTAAAAAATCTTTACATAGTATTTTGTAAAGTCGCTTCCCGTTGCTGAACGCTTATACGAGTATCTTTCAAACTAACATTTTTGATGAGATTTTATTTAAAAAGAGTGATTCAAGAGGAGAGTTTATATGTATAATACGTGCATATTATAGTACAGAAAACCCAAAAATTTCAAAGATTTGTAATGTGATGTCAAAAAAACATGTTTTAAAACATGTTACATTGTAAACGCTGCGAGATAATTTAAAAATAATGTACTACGGAATTGTATACCTTGAAAATATCTACAAAAAAATCCCCAATGAAGTATATCTATCTCCTCAGGATAATCAATAGTAACCATTTTTATCTTCTACATACTAGAAAGAAAATGGTTATTTAAGAAGCTATTTAAAATGAACACAGTAATATTCCTTATCCGTTTAAATACAGACGTGGCGTGCTTATCAATATTGTATCTAACTGTACCGTGTAGTAGTAGGCTTATCATAATAATAATATAATTAATTACTCCATACTACACTGACACCACATTAGCATCTATATTGCTTTCGTGCAAAGCCGGGGCACGTCGCTAGTTATAAATAAATTTAAAAAATATTGAACTTCTGAGAATTAATTAACATTTTGAGCAAACGGAACTGTTTAATTTATATATATTTTCATAATGTTGTCCAACCTCCTTTCTAAGGAGAGGCTTATGTCCAGCAGTGGACTATTAAAGGCTGTTGATGATGATGATGAATGTTGTCCAATACAATTGTACATATAAATAACAATATTTTATGCATGAGTACATCCATTCACAAATGGGGCGGGTTTCACGATAAATGTTTTGTCTATTCCTTGTGTCGCATATAAAGGACCAGTTGAGAAGGGTACATTTCAATTGTTTAATATCAGTATTCTAATACCCATACTTTAACATAATATATACATATATATAGATACCTATTTATTGCCATATTTTAATTACTCTGGAACGAACATTACCGTAAATAAAACGTAAATTTTGAGCTTAATCAGCTTTTATGAGAAAATGTGATTAACATAATATTTTAATTATATAACACAACGAATAAAATAAAGTTATAAATACATGAATAAAGACTTAAAAACTTAAAACACTGGTAGAATAGAATAAAATTTATTGTACACCAGTTTAGTACATATTACATACAAGAGTACATCAAAGTCAAAGTTAATTCAAAGTCGCTCAACGTGCTATGGAATGGGCTATGCTCGGCAATACTCTAAGGGATCGCATCAGGAATGAGGTGATCCAGCAGAGAACCAAGGTCACCGACATAGCCTACCAGATCAGCAAGCTGAAGCGGCAGTGGGTTGGCCATATTAGCCGCAGAACCGACAACCGTTGGGGAAATCGAGTTCTTGAGTGGAGACCGCGTCTCAGCAAACGTAGTGTAGAACGCCCACAGGCCAGGAGGCTGGCAGAAGCTGGATGCGAGAACCCCAAAATCGATCTAAGTCTCCTGCAATGGGAGAGGCCTATGTCCAGCAGTAGACTGCGATAGGCTGATATTGATGTACATCAAATTTTATCGCTAAAAAACAATTTCTTACAAGCAAACTTAACGATTTTAAATTTGTCAGTAAACCTGAATCGCTTATTAATTCCTGGTTAATAATAAAGTTAGTAGAAAATTATTGAAACATTAAATGTGAACGTAGCTTCTAATAATCTGCATTGGGTGATTAGGTCCGCATCACATCATATTTATTAATCATTACTAAAGTTATTGAATTTCTGAAAGCTCTACCATTTACATATCTCTATTTCACTATACTACTTAAATATTAAAATAAA